CACATTTTATGTTTCGTTAAATAGAATATTCGATAAGTACCAAAAGTTGACTATTTTTTATTCTCGCTCAAATTCTTGAAGCTCACGTGATATTTATTTGACAGAAACCTACCGGTAGCAGACAAATCGTAATCGAAACTATGTTTATGTGAATAAAATACAAATCGGCAGCCTTACTAGACATTCAATGTTGATAATATTGTACTTAATATGGATACGCTGAGTCACATGCTTGGGTCCTGGTGCTTTCATCAATCAAACAACGTTCTTTTACACACGCACACGGTTCACAGAATATTTAAGAAAACCATATATTTTTCTCTACACAAACTAAAAACTCTCTCATTCTTGAAAATAATTTATAACTTAAATTCAAACTGCAATTTGAAATACACATCTTTCCCATCGATAAGTTGTAGCAGCCTGAAGCAGTGCTGTAAAGCGACAGTAAATAAAATTTGAACGTATATGAATTTAAATTTAGTTAATTAAAATGTTGTGTAACAAATGATACGCTCCAAGAACTATTTTACTTTAAAGACTAAGTCCATATTATTGTAGACCCCAAAATACCCTATATACAAATGTACATATGCAGGTTACAGCTGCTTTTCGATGGGGAATATATACTTGGAGCAGTGTTGCAAAACGTATGACTATGAATGTTTATTAAAATGTTGAGTAACAAATTTAAATGATGCGCTTCAAAACCTATTTCACTTGAGCATATAATTTCAAATTATTTTAAACCCCGATATACCCTATATAAATATGTACATATACTTAACTGACAGCTTGGACACTGTGCTACAAAACTTGTAAATGCATTCTACAGCAACGGAGCTGGCCATGCTTTGGGGCCAACATGGTTGCAGGCATCGGCTCGTATTTTCAGTTTGTACTGTTTTTTTTTTATGGCCCTTGTAATTATCACTTTAATGAACTTTGCTATTTTGATGGCGCCCAACAAGGCAAACAATGGCGGCGGGGGCCAAGGATGGGTTCGATCCGGTGTTGTCGTTGCGGGTGCGGTGGTTCCTTGGCAGGCCGAGCCCCTGGCAGAATACGTGCACCAACCGCCTCGTGCTTGCTGCTGACGGTGGCTTCGTTTTTATTAAGGAATAAAATTAGTGAGCGCGTGCCGAGCACGCCAAGTGGCAAGTTGCACGTTGCAAGTTGCAACTTGAAAATTGCAGTCCGCGCTACCAGCGGCGGGCAAGCAACACAAAGTAATGTGATACGAATGTGCACAAAATAGTGCAAGATAAATGCGCAAAATTTCAGCAACAACAGGAAAAATACTCTAGCCAAGGAAGCGTCAAGGCAACGACAGCTAAATAGCCAAAGAGACCCGAGTTTGGTTGCACAAACAAATAAAAAAAACTGGGGTATACACATTAAGGAAGAGCTGCAGAGCCGCCATCGTAAAATCCAACAAAAATACTAAGAAAAAAAAAACATTACTAATTTACAGTTTTAAAGAGGAGAAAACGATTATATTTAATCGCTAACATAATCAGGCTAGCATCAAATCGTTGATGAAACTTTGCATCTGCCATTGGGTATTATAATAGGCTAGTGCCCCTAATGATCAAGGATACATGTACAAAGGACCTCGCTAACATTAAGACTATATAATTATAGATATACATATATAGTTCAAAGAGCTCTACTGTCGCCTGATGTCGCATTGCCACAACACGTTTATAAGTGCGAGCTTTGGACAACCGCTGCACAGTGCATATTTAAGAAGTCTGGACCCACTGTCAAGGCTGATCATTGACTCTCCCAATGGCGTTCATTTAAAATGGTGTCCAAATGAAATTGCTGAAATATTAAAAAGCGCCAGCGGCATTTTGTTTTTCGCGCCACGGGGCGATTAATCATAAAAACAGATTTTAACATGGCCTAGCAGTAGGCAACGACATGCGTGCATGTGTGCATATGTGTACATATGTACATATGTGTGTGGATATGTGCGCGCAAGTATTTGTGTGTGTGTTGTATGCCTCGCATATCTGTGCGTAATGTTCAGTTCGGTTCGGCTGGGCCTGGACCTGGGCACATAAAATATGCAAAATATCTTGTAATGTGTTTATCATTGCGTATATTTAGCATACTCACACACACGCGCACACACACTGGCACACGCGCATGCACACACAACCACAAAGCGACATTTGGCCACCGCCGAACATTGGCTGGCAATGTTCAATGTGGCATTTAAAGGGCTCTGTCAAAAAAAGGACCTGACTGTTAGGCCGGCCTAGCTGGGACCTCTGCCGCTCTGCGCGCACACACACACACACACACACACCAATAAAATTCATTGAATTAACAAATAGCTTTATGTGCAGTTTTATAAAAATTTGCCAGACGCTTGGCGGATTTCGTTACATTTACCAAACGACACGGCCCACACCGGAAACACCGTCACGCCCCGTTCGACTTAACCAAGCAGAGAAAAACAAACGCCCCGCGGCAGAGTTTAAACCAAAATGGGCCAATTGGTTCGGTAAAGCTCTTAGTGGATTTTCGTTAAAAATTTATAAACATGTGTGTGTAAAAGTATATATTGTATATATATTTCCACAGTTGTTTGCGGTTACATTTTTACCAGCATTACTTATGCTTTTATATGCATTTACATATCACATTTATCAACTATTTGTATTAACTGATCGTTGCGGAATTTTGTTGATAAATGAATACATTATGTTAATACCAAATATAAAGAATTTATGCGTTAAATTGATGTATTAAATATATGGAGATATGTGACAGCTTTACTACATAAAAGACTTTCATGCTTCAACAAAATTAATCATACTTAGCTTTTAGTACAAGTGAATGAGATAAGAAATTTAGAAGGTTTTCAATGAAGTTGATAAGTTACTTGATATATATATATATATATATATATCTGGATATGTCACCATTTGCCGGCTTATGCACTTACAAAACAATTTTATATCCCATTTTGTTTTTATAGTTCACAAAATAGATGAAAACTCGGATTCAAAAAACTTTTCTGCGCATATTTTTTATAACCAAATTGAATGCCAAGCAGCGAATTTTCCACAATTAGTTAAAAGCTTGTTTTGTGAATTTATAAAGCTGTTGGCAAAAGTTTATTAATATTAAGTAAAATTCGAAGTAACAATCCGTATGCTTGAACTTAAATTCCTTTACAACATGCTAGATATTTCAGTAAGAAAAGTAATTTCTTATTTGAGAAAGCTGTTGTTAGACAAAGGAATACGCAGCAAATAGCTACAAACAATATTTGACAAAAGACTATAGATACATCCTGTTTTCATTTGGTCTCGTAAAACTTTAGGGAGATGCGCGTGCTTAACTTTAATGGCAAATCGCATCAAAAACACACTTTAACTGGGCAATATGAATATTATCTATACAGAATATCAAGGCAACACAAATGCCTTAAATAATAATAATACAGGATGAAACTTTCGATTGGTGCCAGCTGCCACAGGCTGACGAACAAGGAAACTTTCTGGCCACAAAGGACCCAAAGATTTACTCCCACTGTGGGAATGTGGCAGAGTAGGAAAGAAGCCAGAAGCCATAAACTACAATCGAAGGAGACAACAGAGTCCTTAAAAAATAAAAATAGGAAGAAAAAATCACACAAAGTAAGAAGAAAAACAAAATATAAATAAATAAATATGTAGAATACATCCATACATATGCAAAAATTGCGAAAGGATTGGCCAAAAGTGAAACACTTTGATATGCATCTAAATGGCATCATCAGCATTGACTGGGGCGCCAAATGCGTCGACAGGGAACAACAAGAAGCAGAATAACAACAACAACAACAACAACAGCAGCAGCAGCAGCGGCAAGGACAACAACAAGGATCCAAAACTAGGAAAGCAATCAAGAAGCGTGCGATTGAGAGACAAACAAAGGCACAATCCGTAGACGGAGGCAGCAAAAAAAACAAAAACACAACAAGTAAGACTGCTCAAGTCGGGTGTGTCCGACTAGGGGATACCCTGAACACCGCACCGAGCCACCGTCGGCAGGTTTCCTTCAACATGTACATAGACATAATCACAAAAAAAAAAGCTAGGCTGCTTCTTCACTAAGCTAAAGAATATTGCAAATGCCTTCGTGATTTACTTCGGAGCTTATTGTCCGAAATAATTATTTTGCGGGGGGCGAGGGCGAGGTAACGAAAAATATAGATATTATGTATATGCGTCTACTATACGAGAGTTAACTTACTAAATCTTGTACCTCTACCTCTCATAAGCTCCAAGATCGGCAACAAAAACAAGATTTCAATATCGATGCTTATGGATTTCATGACAACGGGGCAAGTTATCCAGCTCTTATAGGATCTGAGATCGACCCCCCATATATGCGGACCGACGGCAGACTGGCTAACGGATGACCAAGAAGATATATACTTAATGGGGTCAGAGAGGATTCCTGCTTTCCTTTTCTGCCTGTTACATACATTTGCGCAAAACCAGTATGCTTCTTTTACACATATTCAATGAGTTTAGGGTATAAAAACAACCAAAAAAAGTGCAAATCATTTTGCGGGCGTTACATTTTATTTGGCATCCCAGCCAAAGTCGGGCCGGAAGACCAAAATGGCTGGCAGGATGCACAGTGGTTCAAGGCGCATATAAAAAATATATAAAGTAAATACAATAATAATCAAAATAAACATATATGAAAATTTATATATAAATATGGTAAACATAAAGAATATATTATATTGACAGATTATTATGTGTGGAATTTTTATTTATTTTTCAAAATGTAACATATATTAATATAATACATTTTCCACGTTGACTTATTTTCCGATATGCCTTCAATTAATATAAGTATTGTTTACCAACGAAAGTTCATTATAAAATAAATACAATAATAATTAAAATAAACATATATGAAAGTTTATATATAAATATGGTAAATATAAATAATATATTATATTGACAGGTTAACATGTGTGGAATTTTTATTTATTTTTCAAAATGTAACATATATTAATATAATACATTTTCCACGTTTACTTATTTTCCGATATGCCTTCAATTAATACAAGTATTGTTTACCAACGAAAGTTCATTATGAATGTCACGGAATCAACTCAGTTTTGGTTTTGCCCATTTTGTTGTAAATGGCAAATATAAATCAACAGGATAAACTGCCTGTTAAATGCAAGAGACAATAGAAACCAAGTTTAACAAGTGACAGTCAAGTTCACAGAAATCTGGAGCAACAATTGAAATATAATTGAAATATGCTCCGCTTAAAGCCAAATAATAAAATATTTTCCAAGAATTTATGTAATAAATATGACTATTTTAAGTTGAAAAAAAAATAGTAGAAAAAAAATGTCTTAAATATGCTAAGCAGCTGCGTCTCACAGTGCGACAATATGATTTCTCCATACTCATATGTTTGGCTTTGACTGTGGTGATTTGGTGGCCTTATAACGCACGCGGGTGGGCGGCACCGTTGGGGGTGGGCCGTACTCGACTATTGGGGCGGAGATACAAACAGATAGGCACTGTAAATGATGATGATAATTTAAGTTGAAGCTGGAAACTTACTCCGGTAGACGTTATAGCCACGCTCATCGGCAATGTAGTAAAGCGTCTGGATCTTTGGCTTCTGGCCCGCCACGGGCACCGAATTGTAGCCCTCCTGGACATTGATCAGTGTGTCGCCCACACGCTTCATGTACAGCTTCATGTAGTTGACCAGGCCGTTGCTGAGCACCAATCTGCGGATGAGAGTGAGTTTATTGGGATTGGAACAGATGGGCCAGGTGACCGGGCTTAGTGTCCGGGGGCGCACTTACTTGTGCTCCTCGGTGCCGTTGGCGTGCTTGATGCGATAGTTTTCCAACACATAAACTGGCTGCGGTTCGTCGGGTCCTGCAGTTGGCTGGCTCGTTGTTGTTGTCGACGATGCCAGCGGTTGGGATGTTGTGCTTGAGGCGTTCTCTGCTGGTTCCAGCTCATCAAAGAAATAATCAAAATTTTCCTCTTCAAAATCCATTTGCGGAAATACGACCAATTGATCCTCATATAAGGGCAACTGTGAAGGTGTCGATGCTGCTGGTGTTGATGTTGTTGTTTTTGTTGTTTTTGTTGTTGTTGTTGTTGGTGATGGTGTTGGCGTTGTGGTTGTCGTTCCCGCTGTTGTACTGGTTGTTGTGCTGCCAATGTCATGCCCAACCTCAATATCTGAGGGCCAAACAACCAATTGTAATTCATAAAGGGGCTGATTGCTGCCGCTGCTGTTGCCAGACATTGAATTTCGCCGGACACTCGCCGGCTCGTCCTGTGCCTGTTCCTTTGCCTGCTCGTGGTCGAGCTCGTGGTCCGCATCCTCATCCGCATCCGCTGGCTTATTAGTGCTGCTGCTGTGCAGCACGTTGCAGCCATTGTCCTGCATCTGCTGTTGCCCTAACGAGTCCATTGTCGCATCGAAAGTCAATTTGCAGTCAATGCGATGCGACTGCGACGGCGACTGCGACTGCGGCTGCGGCTGCACCTCCTTAAGTGTCGTTTCAATGGTGGTCAGCTCCTGTTGCCCTCTGGCCAATGCGTCTGTTGCTGGCATTGGCGTGGCCCGGGCACAAATCACGACCAGCAGGAGGATTAGTGACAGCAGCGGCAGAGCGCCTTCGCGCCACATATATGATGTCATGTCGGGCTGAAATTGCGTGGGGACTTGTGGGCTTCGATGCTCTTGCTCTCGCTCTCGCTCTCGCTCTCGCTCTTGCTCTCTGCCTGCGTTTCTTACTGTTGTGTTGTTGCTCGGCCCGTCCAGCTTCTTATATTTATACCCAGAATTCTGGCGCTGCCGCCATTCCTGACTGCGGCAGCGACGGCGACTGCGACGCTAGCGTCGACTTAATCAACAGCTTTTTTGAAAACACAACCAAATTATTTGTTACTTTACCGTTATGCGTAAAGAACGAGAACAACAAAAATATCAGTAATAAACAACATTCAGCAGAGCGAAGAAGCAGAGAGAGGAATATGCGACAGAAACAATAAATGCAGCCAGGCAGAACACGATGACAATGCTGAGCACGAAGCGTGGGAAAGAGATAGAAGACGAGATGAAGACGAAGACAGAGATAGAAACAGCAACGAAATATGCAAGCGAATCGAACCGGTTCAAGCCATTGCAATATTGGCAATTGATTGTTTTGCTGTGAACTAAAGCCCGATCCAAACAGGTTAACCTAAAAAACTGAACCGAAAGCTCATTTTTTTTGTTATATCCGAACCATTTTTATACCCTGAACCCATTAAAAATGGGTATAAGGGTATATTGTATTTGTGCAAAATCCAAATGTATGTAACAGGCAGAAGGAAGCATCTCCGACCCCATAAAGTATATATATTCTTGATCAGCATCAATAGCCGAGTCGATCTAGCCATGTCCGTCTGTCTGTCTGTCCGTCCGTCCGTCTGTCCGTCCGCCCGTATGTATGAACGCAAGAATCTCAGAACCTATAAGAGCTAGAGACTTGAAATTTTAGATGTAGATGCTCCTAGTTCCCGCGCAGATCGATTTTGTTTCCTATAATCGATATCGATATCCTGTTTTTTGGGCAATTTTGGTAAATAATAAGAGCCAGGTCACCAAACTTGACATATAGCTTCCAAAATAGAATATATATATGCATTTGATGTTGGAAGAAGAGGGTTCAGGGTATCCCCTAATCGGGAGCTCCCGACTAGAACCTCTTGTTCAGTTTTTAAGAGTGAAACGAACCAAGGCTCGAACCAAAACTTAGCTCATGTAGGAAAACATACAGGTTTGAGAGCAGAGTTCCACCTTGAATCGAAATAATTTGTTTTGGACTGTCAGACGAAATATATACATACACTATATAAACTCTTCACAGTCGCAGTCGTAGAGAAGTACTTTCGATAATGTATGTGCTCTGCACACATTTTACGAACTTGGCCATCAACACAATTGAACAATAAAAACTTCCAAACACACCATCTATTATCTTGGCGTTTATTATACTTTTATTATACTACGCGACTACTAAAAAAAGTTTACCAAATTAACTTTTAAGCAATATTATTTGAGCAAAACTCCATTTATCCATCAACCTTATTGAAGGTTGATTCTCAATTGGTCCGCAAGCTCAAAAACATTCGTTTCATGGTTCGAACCAGCAACGTACCTTTGGGTCTGGTTGGAAAAGTTAATTTTCTATTTATACTCAGGATAGGAGCTAAAATGTATCTCTAGCTAAAATTTGCACCTACCAAATATGGTTAGATAAATGCTGTGGTGGGGGACAAAGTAGTTTATTTAACGCTTTCAGAAAAGTCCCTAGAAATATGCTTTTTATTTTTTAAACTTTTAAAGCTTATGAACAATTATTCATCGCAGGTGATGCAGCTTGCACTTTGCACAAAAAGGATATATGTGTTTTTGGGTAGTGCTCAGGTAATCGCTTTAGTAACTTGCCAGTCATGCTCTGGCGCCCTAACATTAGCTCGACTATCCTGCTGAGTTGGGTTAACTGTCATTTATTTGAGCGATCTTTCGTCTCAATATTGAAATATAGCTAGCTCTTTCGCTCTCGCTGTTTGCCCCTGGTCTTGCACTTGTCATTCTTGTCCCTGCACTTTCCATTCCTTTGGTCATTTGGCTCCAACATCATTTATAATAAGATTTTCATGCTGGACAGGCAGCTCAAGCGACAACGACAGCGACGGCGACAGCGACGGCAACGGCGGCGGCTTCGGTGCAACCATTAACGAAACGCTGATGTCGACGGCGCTGCCCGCCGCCTCTGCCGCTGAGCTTTTGTTATTGTTATTGCATTTCTTTTTGCATTTTGTTCTCTTTTTAACGAAACGCTGTTGCCGAGACGTCGCACTGTGGGGCGTCACACGATAGCACGTGGCGAAAATGAAGCAGGCGTAATTAACATATAATTAACTGAAGAGTTATTGCGAGCCGCTTAAATTGGCGTGTGAAATTGTATATATATTATGGTATATATGTAATATCTTACGTACAGGGTAACTTCTAGTTGCGCTCTCTTAGCTGAAGTTAACATTTAATATTTGATTATAAATAAATGTGACTCAGTTTTTCTTTAGCAAATGTATATGATTATTTTCTTTAGTAAGTAATGTAAAAAATAAATATTTTGAGTTATTTTTGACAACTGAAAATTATTATTAGCATTATTATTATTTAATCATGTCTTTTATAGGTAACAATTTAACATCCGTGCGACATTTTACTTCACAATTTATATAAAACAATGCATTTTTTAGATTTTTCAATTAGGCAAACAAATTTTCTATTGAACCTTGGTTCGTCACAGTATTTCATAATTGAAATAAAAAAAAAGTTAAACTCTTCTAGATTTTCTAAAGAGACAAAAATATGTTCCTCATTCAAGTTCGACCATGCTAAAGTTAGCATATTTGGAGTTACATGCTCGAAACGGTTATGGTTAACCGGTTCGCAGACTTGTGTGAAATATAAGTATATACATACTTATAAATTGTATAATAAACAAATATTATTTAAAGTTGTTTATTTCAATGTTAACTGAATTTTATAGAATTTAAATTCACATCTATTAGTATTGCAGCAAGAGCAGTGCAATGGTTCCACTGTGCGACGTCGCTGCCTGCCGCCTGTGCAGCTTAGCTTTTTTTATTGTTATTGTTATTGCATTTCTTATAGCTGCTGTTGCAGTTGTTGCTGCTGTTGTTGTTATGTGCCATAAAATATACTTTATGTTGAAAAGTATTTTTAAACATGACTCTTGTGCCAATTTTGGTAGATGCATTTGTATTAGGACGCATATGTGGATACATATATTTGAATTATCGTGACTGGCTCGATATATATGTACATATGTGCCATATAAATCAGGAGAGATGCTTAGCTAGGGCTTTGTCTTGCAATTTTGCTGGCCAGCAGCTGTTACACATAATATTTGTGGATGCAAATTAAATTTTTAACAGGAGCCAAACACAAAATGCGACTTTAATGTGCAATTTGTCAAAACTTATTTGATTTATGAGCTCCGCAGCGGCAACAGCACAAATAACAAGAACAACAATCGCCCAACTGTCAAACAAACCAAAAACAACAAACAAACTTGCCAAACGCCCAGTCCCAATTGTGTTCCAGGTTCCGTTTGGAAGCCCCTGCTCCACGCCATACCCATGCCCCATGTCCAGTCACATTCACAGTCACAGTCACAGTCACAGTCACAATCGCAATCCCAAACACTTCTGCTGCCCAACTTGGCTGCTAATCGTTCAGAGCGTCGAACTTTAAAGCACAACAAATTGAAAACCTCACCCACAAAATTGGTCCTGGAGTGAGAAAAAAAAATGCTGCCAATTTCTGGCCGGGATGGAGACGTTGACATGGCACTGACTCCGCCTTTTCGTGTGCTTGCGTCCTGGCCAGTTACATGATTTGGCGTAATCTAATTTGTAGCCACCAGGGTCCAGGGCTTTAATCATGCGACTGCTGGCCATTTGTCAGCCTCAAAGGGAGTCAGTCGTAAGAAAATCAGTGAGCACTTAATTCCATTTACATATTTGAATTAAATTCAAATTAACTTTTAGCTCAATTCGCCCAAACGGCTAGACATTTTCTTTGGCTACATCTGCAACAGCTATACAAAGCTGGAAAATGCAAAGCATACAGAGCTGAAAATGAAAATCCGTCGAACAATTGATTTTTAATGAGCAGCACATGTAATTTTATATGCATGCTTCCGACATGCTGATTTTGTCATGCGCATTTTCAGCACCTTCCGCAACACCTTTCCAGCTGCTGCAAGGGCGCGTCAAGCTGCGGTTGTGCAAATTTCCGTTACAAGTGTGGAAAATAAATGGAAAACGCTTATGTGAAACTATTTGGTTGTTCATTCGATCGAATTTGATTGTATTTTGTGAAATGTTTCACACTTTTCGGCAAATCCACCTCAGCGTTGTGGGCGAAAGATTGTTGTATATCTATCTAAATTGAAATTGGATTTTGGGTGGATGGAAGCATTTGAGATAACTAACCGAAAAATGTATACACATTACAATTCCCATGACATCAGAAGCACATGGGCTGGATACCTGTTCGATTTGACACACTTTGAATGCATATTAATTAGATTGCAACTGGTTCCAGGCCCATAAAGAACTTAAAATAAAAATTCGTGTGCTCCGGAGCAGCCAAAAAGCCATCGTCGCAGCCCATATAAAAGACTGGGCACATTTGGGCAACCAGACAGACCTGCCAAAGCACCAAACATGAGAAGCTATCTGGGTTTCATACTGCTAATCAGCGCTGCGGCTGCGGAAACATCCGATAAATTGACAACGACCACGACCACGACCACGACAGCCAAGCCGGAGCAGCGCAACAAACGTCAGCTGGTAGCTGTAAGTGGCCAAGATCAGGAGTAGAGCAACAAATTAATAGCATAATATACCATATTTAAACAGAGCAATGCCGGAATTGGTATACCCATCTACTTTGACAACTTCAATGCGAATCCGCCCCTGGAGCCCATCAAGCCGGCGGAGCCCGTTGCAGTAGCCGCGCCCGTGGGGGGCAACACGGCGGGTGTGCAGCCAACTGGCTTTCTGTCTGGATTTCCGCAGAATATACCCATTGTGGGCACGCTGTTGACCAATTTGCCGCTCCAAAACCTGCTGGCCGGCTTTAATCTGGGCAACCTGGGCCAGCTGGGCGGCCTGGGTAATTTGGTTAATGTGGGCCAACTTGGCAATTTGCCCATTTTGGGCGGCACCAAGCCGGGCGCTGCTGGTGGCACGCCCCCACAAACATGCCCGCTAACCCAGAAGCTGAGCTGCCGCTGCGAGCCGTTGCTCTCGCTGCCGTTGCGCCAGCCGGAAACCCAGCTGGTGCAGATCATCAAGCAGAATGTGCGCCGCAACGAGAACGGCACGCAGGAGCTGCGCCTGGTTATTAGCAACGGACACGTTATCTACCATCGCAACGACAAGGATGCCAGCAAACAGCTGGGCTACTATGCGCTGCCCATCCAAACCGGGCACTATCTGAACATTCACTATAGCATCAATCAGACCAGCTATACGATCAAGGCCGACGTGGGCAGCTCGCCGCCCGACTCAGATTTCGATGGCTATGGAAAATAGCCGATGCAAACCGTTTCGCCCATCGGTTCGCATTTCACGTCTAAACGTACTTATCCGTAAATACAATTTTTTTTCTTAGCCTTTAACTTGCCAGCAATAAACTATTTTAAGCAGAGCCAAGATTGTTGCAGTCGGAGACAGCCAAGACAAGGTCTGAAGCCAGGCATAGGGTAACTTCTGCTGTGACTGCTTTGTCATATAATACTATTTTTATACCCTGAACCTATTAAAAATGGGTATAAGGGTATATTGTATTTGTACAAAACCCAAATGTATGTAACAGGCAGAAGGAAGCATCTCCCACCCCATAAAGTATATATATTCTTGATCAGCGTCAATAGCGGAGTCGATCTAGCCATGTCCGTCTGTCTGTCCGTCCGTCCGTCCGTATGTATGAACGCAAGGATCTCAGAACCTATAAGAGCTATAGACTTTTAGATAGAGAAATTTTAGATGTAGATGCTCCTAGTTCCCGCGCAGATCGAGTTTGTTTCCGATAATCGATAACTTCCTCCGTTTCCAAGCAATCGATAAAAATATCGATATCCTAATTTTTGGGCAATTTTGGTAAATAATAAGAGCTAGAGTCATCAAACTTGACATATAGCTTCTAAAATAGAAGATATATATTTGCATTTGATGTTGGAAGAAGAGGGTTAGGTTATCCCCTAGTCGGGAGCTCCCGACTAGAACCTCTTACTTGTTTATTCTCAATCTTGTATCAGTATCAGATATAACTATAAGTGTGCACAATACCCTACAAGAAACAAGTCTTTCTCCTGCTTGAACAAAACAAATATACTCTGCTTCACTATCTAAAAAGTGTAGCATGCAGAAGGGTATGTATGCGATCTTGTGCTCTATTCAAGAGGCCACCAGCTTCGTGCGGTTGATGTTCTCCCGCAGAGGTGAAGAGATTCGGAAGGTGTGCACTTCTAGCGTTGCTCTAAACTATGCTCGTCGGATTTGGCGTGGGTCTTTTCCTCTTCCCTTCACATATCACTCCTTTTGTGCTCAGAAAGGATAAGTGCACTGACTGTAAACTAATAAGATGAAGGTCCAATAAGATGTATTCGGGCTGTACTCACGTACAGAATTAATAAAAATGAGAACGGCGGACTGTTATGTGAGAGTTTCAGTGGCTAGGGTGCGGTAGGTGTTGATCGCTCCCTATTCTTTACCCTCCCAACCTTGGTAACTCGTGATTAACTTGGGTGGTTACCCCTTTACTAATGTTTTATTTAATTCAACATAAACAATATGACTTCAGCGTAGGATCGTACCGGCGACGGACCTTTCTGTACAATTTATCGGTACATTTTAATTAAAGTAAACTTCAGATAACAATCATCTGATCCATATAAGAATGCTTTACTCTTTAGTATTTTGTTTTCTTTTGCCTAAACTAAGGTGTAACAGGGCGGTGTTAAACTATTATATATATTCATGTCAATACACGAGCATTCCGAGTGCGATAAAGCCGATTAAATAATTCGTTCGCCAATAGTAGGCCGTACTCACTGTGAGTTATATTCAGACTTGTCACTCACTGTTATATCCATCGGTGCAGGTTCGTTGGGCCCATCGAAAGTGCAGTTGGTGTGGTGCTTTAAAGCTTTTGGTAGCTGTGCATAAAGAAAATTATTTAAACGGAAATCGCTGCTACGGGTAACGCTACTAAGTACTCACAGGAAATTTGTATATTAAGGTTACATTAAAAAAAAACAATAAAGAAAGCAAAGCAAATAATTAAGATCTAAGAATCCAAACTCAGATTGGCTGGCCTCCAGACAACATCAAACAGCTGATAATCCTACGCGGCTTGACGACGGATAATTTCAACTAGAACGCATGCGCGCGAGACATCGAACGAGCTAGACTATTCGATTGCGGTTAACTCTATTTCGTTTCCAGATAAAGACTTCTCTTTCACTCCTTTGTGTCACACCTACGCTTCACGCTATCAAGCGCGGCTATACTCTGCCGAGTAAGATAAGGGATGCAAGACACAACTCGGTCGTTTTAAGCATTAGACAAATATATAGCGATGAAAAGAACCGGTGTAAACTTTAAGTTGAGCCAACTGCGCCTCAGCCGGTGTGAACTGGAGCTTAACTAATTCGCCGAATAATCGCCGAAATAGGGGCGGTGATTGAGTATGGGGCTCTTTCGGCCGGTCGCCGAATTATGTTTAATGTTTAGAGCGCGGGGGCGCCGTACGCAGACCGGCCGATATCTGGGCTTGTCGGGCGCTGCTAACGCTCCCTGTAAAAAGGTGGATTTACGTTAAACAGTTCTAACTGTCTTTCATGGAAAGTATTACCTGTTCCAACACTATGTCGCGTTCGCGAATACTTCTTAACCAAATACGTTTGTCTTGAATTTTGATTATAATCGAAAAAGTTTAACACGTGTAATCTTAGCAATGTTAATTAGAAAAATGAGCAGACGTTATGACTCCGTTGCGTCTGTTCGTTTTCACAGCTGAAGACGAAGTGAACGAGGTGACCGCGTGGATAACTCACTTTAGCTATGCAACTGATACGCAACGCCAGCTACATTTGTCGCTTGTGATATTTAACGGAACTATGGCGTGATTGCTTGTCTTATTCTTTGATGCCGTTTCTTGTCGCTTTATGTATAAGGTGCGAAACTGACGCGAGGAGATGCAACTAACACAACCGCCGAGGCGTGGGAGCGAGATGACATTACGCTGACCACCTCGAGAGATAATACTCAACTTTAGTTGCTGGGTATATACGACTTAATATTAAAAGTTTAATTTTTTCAAACTTACTGGCCCCCACAAAAGAGTATACAACTTATCTACTTAAACTCGATTCGATTTCGGAATATTTCGGCATTATCTGCAGTAAAAACGAATAGTTCCATCATCCAATAGTTCCAATATATTTTAAATAATACTCAAGATTTTAAATCATTTTGCTACTGACATTCAAGAATATTTCGATTCGCTACAAAAAAAAAAAAGCCAATAAGTTGTTATTGCTATTCGCCAGCTGGCAATTCGATTTCATTAATTGAACTTCCTTATTTGCTGTGCTCCATCCAATTTGGGGAACATTTTCGCGAAACACAAGCAAGAATTACATCGTGCTGAGCAACAAGTTGGATTCGCTGGCATGGCAATTGTGACGAAGGAAAAACATTTTCCCAATGCTCTCAATTAGCGGATGGCAAATGGAAATCAAGCTGCAATTGCAATGCCAGCTTCGAGTCGAGCGGAAGCGAAGTGGCGACAACGGAGACAACAAGGATGACAACTTATGCAAGCAGCTTTTTGACAGGATGCCCCTCGAAACGCAAATTGCCACTGTTGTACAACAGTTGACAGCATGGAAACCCTTTTTGGAATCCCTCGATTCCGCTTGAAAAATGTTTAACCAAGAGGAAAAATACGAAAAGCAACGCTTAACCAAAGGGAAAACCTCGAAATTGTATTGTGGCCGCCAATTTCATACTCTAACCCGAAATATTCACTGCATATTTCCTGCAATCGAACCAGCTACCTTACTCTATATATAGCAGGCCAACAAACATTTTTGCTGGTTCGGTGCACGGTTTGAACCGATGTCCTCTCGCCTTATGTTGCGATTCATCAACTGGATAAGACCAAATTTCCTACTTATAAAATATATGTATTATATTTACATAGAAATCATATATTTGTAGTGAAAAAATTGCATTTATTATTGTATCAAAAATATGATTCGTTTCAGGTTAGAAATCAATCGGCTTTGTTATCCAACTTGTCTGGCTAAAATTGTATTCTCAAATAAAAACAGGCAACACGGGCTCAAAGCGGTTCAGCTCTAGGCCGGCATCAATGAGTAACTCGCAATTGCGTTGCAAATCGTTTGACAATAGCGAAGTACCCCTGCAGGGTATAAAAGTTTGCTAACTGAAAAACTAACAATCGAAATATTCCGCATAAAAAATTTAAGCAACATAAACAATTTCTGTCATCTTTTAAATAAGAGCAGATTTGATCACATCATTAACTTAAATTGGCTTTAAATCAAGACCAAAAAATGCTAAAACTATTTTCTAGAATTTTGCGTAAGGTTTTCATTAAAGGTTTCAGTTTTTTGTCTTGAAGAGAAAGCGTTTATATAATTAAAAAAATATTGAATTTAAACTAAATAAAAAATAAACTTAATTTCACATGCGAAATGGGCTATCAAATAAAAAAGGAGAGCTGATCAGATTGCAACTTAAGCTTAAAAAGTGCCATATAATGAATGCAGTCAGATGCACGTTTGAAAAGCTCGCTTAAAGTTTTTCAGCTGCGTTTACTTTTTAAAGCCTACTTATGAATGCGGATTAACAGGAATCGCCTGGCCAGCTACCATAATGCGACTCAAATGTTCATGTTGTCGTATTAAGCGAATCGCAGTTGGGGCAAACTTTACCCAAAATGTGCCAGGCCGTCGGACCGTCAGACTGTCGGACCGTCAGGTTTCCAGTTGCAGGCAGCTGCAGCACAAGCCATTGGCTGGCGACAATTGGGGCAAGCACAACAATTGAAATCGCATCGTTTTGCCAGTGAATTGCTTTAAGCAATGGCAGACACAGTCTTCCTGGGGATGGGCTGTGGATATCGAGCGTAATGCCACTTAATAGTGGCATTCCAGAACAAACCGCAACCCCAACCGGAGCCAAGCCGTCTAACTTTAAACACGACCAACAGCAGCATCTTTAAGTGCTGCCGATTGGCAAAACGCGTCATTAGTTCGTCTGAATGCTGCTGCCTCTGCTGCTGCTGCAATTGCTGCTGCTGCTGCTGTTGCTTTTGCATTTGTTTGTATTACCCAACTGCAACCAGCTTCTGCTGCTGCTGCATCCATTAGCAGCTATGCCATACGACTGGCGCAACCACAGACCAAGTGAGTGACCCCGTGCACGCCAGTGTTGCTGGATTGACCGCGTGCTGGTCCCTGCCAGCCGGAAAAACAACAGTCACTTACCCGCACACACAGAAGCACACAAACACAAGCACACCCCACAGTTGGCCGGGCCCGAGCACCACCAAAACTGCCGCAGTGTGTGGCCAAAGCGTAACCGCGACTGGCGCGTTGCCTCTAACGGATGTGAATTGAGAGCGGAAAGCATCACAGGTAGCCTAGTTACACACACACACACACACACACACTACAGTGGTCTTTAAATTAAATTCACTCCTTTTTCTGGCAACAAAATAGATTCTTTGATCAGGCGCCACAAATCAAAGAACTCGCCCATTTATTGCACAGCTTTTCATAATATGCAACACTTTTTATACACAACCTTCCTTTTTTTACTGGCGAACAGCTGTTCGCCTTGTCCGTATCCCGCAGGACAGCCCCAATCCGGAGCACCTCCCCATATAGTTGTAAATTGTCGAAATCGCAAACAAAAGCTGCAATTGTTAAAACCAAAACAACAAAATACCCACAAAAAAATAAGCAGTGGTGCTTTGGTTAGTTTTGCCCGACTAGGCGATGCCCTGTATTCAATGTTAGATATAACTATGGAGTATAAAAAAAAAACATATATACCGTTTGTAGTTTAATCTCCCTTTCATTATCGTTAACTTCTATCATCGGAGTTTTTTGACTATCTGTTGAAAATGTCAAGAAATAAACAAATATATTTACTGGTTCGGTTCAGGGCCTAAGCCTGGTTTTACACATAAATATATCTATATTTTGCTTCGAACCTTTATTGAATAATATTTAACTATTTTATTTGATAGGTACAAAATATTATGAAATAGGTTTTGGGGAGACAAAGAAAACAAAATCGTAAATCAAAATGGCAAAGCTTTGTAGATGTTTTTTATTAAGTACTTAAAATATGTAAAACTTTATTATGTTATAAAATTATATATTTGATATATGTAAGATTGAAGAAATAAGATTGAGTTGGATTAAAAAATATCCAAAGAGCTTGTCAATTGTCCTTTCTTGTTTTCTAAATGCCAAGTAGGGTTTGCTTGTTAATGTATGTTAACAAAATAAAGTCCGCACGCGAACCGAACCCATTCCCAGTGTAGTCTACAGGGTATCAACAAAACAAAGAAAAACCGTTGAAGTGCTACAGAATCAAACGCAAACGCAGCAACCACTAAATAAGTGGAGTACGCGAAGAGACGATGCAACAAAAAAATAAAACCTGGCCAAAAAGCTCCAAACAAATAAAGGATCAACATGGCTTGAATTGCACCCTTCTCAACATGTCGATTGCGAGCACAAGCATGAGCTAAATAGTCGTACCTAAAAAAAAAAGATTAAGTAATAGGAAAAAAAACTGCCATGTGCCTAGCATTACCCGGCCTTGCGCGAGCCAAGTTGCTATTTATAAAATTTATCATATGAATCATTAAAAAATTTCCCGCCTGTGAGCGGACGACAAGGAAGTCCAATGCTCTGTGGCTCGGCTATATTCTGAGCAAAAGCTGTGGGCTGACATTCGGTTCAGAGTTAAAACCCTATTAGAGTTTCGGACTCAAAGTGGCCTTGTTGGAGACCCAGTTGAAAATTCAAATGAAATGTGTCAACTTTTCGCACCAATGGCATCTTGGACGTAGGAGATGCAATTGTCGCTACCTAGCCGAGTCCACAGTTGCTGAGTTTAACCCACTTTTCGAGCAGTTTTCGCGCAAAATAAAATAAACAGTAAATAATTCATTTGGCCGGATTGTGTTGACCTTTTCCTCACGGCCAGCAACGTGTAAGGCTAGATTTAAGTTTTAATTTTTTTTAATTTTTGCTCGCTCGAAACGCACTCACGGTACCGCCACTAGGCTAGGCTAGGCTGGAGCTGAACCTGGTGCTGGTGCTAGGGCTGGGGCTGCGTTATCTAGCCACACGAGCTGATAAGAGCGCGCCAATAGGTGCGGCAACACGGTAAGAGCAAATGGCTTTTAGCTGTATTTGGACGACGACAGACATCGCACGCAATGTCAGGTGAGTGGTGCAGCGACGCGGTGCAGCTAACTATTGATTGATGTCTAAATCTGACCATACAGAACACACCTGGAGGCATTACAGTCATGGCAGCGTGCCGCCCAACGCCGTGGTTGCCGGCCATGACTCGGACGGGGATACCATTTACATTGGGCGCGCCTTCTACTGCAACGACCTGCTGCCGGCCAAGGTGATACCGAACAAAGGCAAGGCCTATGTGGCGTATGCGCGCCAGGAGGTGGAGCTGGACAGCTATGAGGTGCTCAGCGGCCACAATTACGAATGGCTGCCAGCCGAGAACGGCGCCGTGCCGCCCAGCGCCGTCAAAGTGGGTCGCAATGTTGATGGTGAGGATCTGTATGCTGGTCGCGGCTATCATGCCGGCAGCCTGACCGTGGGCAAGGTGCATCCCTCGCACGGCTGCCTGTATATACCCTATGACTCCGATGAGGTTAAGATCTTTGCGTACGAGGTGCTCTCACAGCCGGAACGCTGGATAGACACGACCGCCTCGAACATACCCCAGGGCGCAGTTCTGGGTGGCCACGACTCCAACGGCGATGCCATCTATGTGGGTCGCGTCTTCCGTGATGGCGATCTGCTGCCCGCCAAGGTGGTGCCGGCCAAGGGTACCGCCTATGCTGCCTACGCCCAGGCCGAGCACGAGGTGACCGATGTGCAGGTGCTAGTCGGCGCCGGATTCCAATGGATACCCGCCTCCCATGGCAATGTAGTACCCAATGCGGTGGCCTCCGGTCCCAATGTCGACGGCGAAACGCTCTATGTGGGCCGCGCCAATTATTGTGAAAGCTTAACCGTTGGCAAGATCCATCCCTCGCACGGGTGTATCTACATACCCTTTGGCGGCGAGGAGGTCAAATTGGAGTTCTACGAGGTACTAGTGCGCACATAGACGATATACATACATACATAATTGTAAACAAAAATGAAAGAAAAGCATTTGATCTTTTCAAAAAGTAGACATTGCATGACACGACTATAAAAATCTATTACCACTGGGCTGGGGAACATGGAATTCGGTGTATCGACACCTTTTATCTAGGGTTCCATAAATTACCACAGAAACTATTAATTTAAGTACGGAAACTTCTGACTGCGGTTTATAACCAATATTGATAAGACCCATTGGCTTTATGGGCGTACATAGTATGTCAGGCATAAAAGTTCAACAATTATCAGATAATTAAAAATTGGTTTGTCATGCGCTAAGAGTGCGGCTTGTTCGTGTGTGTACAGTGGCCCTTGAATTGTTTATTAATTTATCTTCAAATGTGTTAATTCAATTGAATTTCTTGCATTAATACAATTTTCCATTGCCTAAGAATTTATTTCGAATTCTGCTGCGCCATCTGTTGCCAATTTCGAAAACTATTGTTGCAGCGCCGTCTCTTGTCATTGTGAAAGTGTTTCCATTAAAGGGCACTGGCAGCGCTGTTGGCAGACCGTTCTTATCGATAGTTTGATGCATACAGCTGATTTTAAATTCTTAGCGCGCAATGCCTATAAAAGCATATGACTACCGCTAACAAAATGCATTTATAAAACAATTTTTTTTTAAACCATATTAGTAAAAAACAATCAAAATTAATAACAATGATGCTGTGTAAAATTGCGAAAATAAAAGTGCAAGGCTGCCACCTGGCAGCACATAGTAATCAGCTGTCGATGCTAACAAGTAGTCGATAGTTAATCGTTTAGCGCTTACATTTGGCATGCTATCGATTGCTTGCGTATTTATTCAGTAGATTTTTTGCGGCTCCAAAAGTCGGACGTGTTCGTGGTTATTTATTTTATTTTTTTTATAAATGCCAAACACCTGCAAGCAGAAAATACGTGTGCTGCATTTGTTTATAAGTGAGCGTGAGCAATGTATCCGAATGCAACTGTATAAGTAATTGAGTTCGATTGAATACCAAAGGGAAACCGGACAACAACAAGAACCAGTGACAACAACACACAACTCCAACAACAACTCATCCACTACAGCTCAACACATTTAACTCCTCTGCGCCTTTTGACACGACAACAAAGCAACAACACGACAACACAGCTCAACTGTTGTTGCTGCTCGCATTTGTATTTGTTATTGTTGTCATTTTGCTGCTGTTCCAGGAAGACACATAATCCATTAAATGAGACAGCAGCCGCCCGCACGAGTAAATATTAGTTTAATATTAATTTGTAGCATTTAAGTGGTATTTCTATTCGCTTACATATTGGCAATAATTACAGCGGCGGCAGCGCCGCCGGCAGAGCCTGGGGCAGCGCTAATGGCAGCGGCACGGCCACTAACCATAAAAATTAACATATAACTTAAATTTAACTTAAAATCCCAACGACAATGCGACGCCAGCGCGAATGCGTTTGATACGGAAAGATCAGCAAATGCGGCGTTGGCTGCGGCTGTGGGACTGCAGGGGCGGACCTAGGCCAAGCACTGTCGCGGCGGCGACGGCGACGGCGGCAGCGGCAGCAGCATTAGCAAGGCAACGTCAGCGCGCAAAAGTTCTAACCAAGTTCTCTGGTGCTGCTGCTGTTGTTTTGTTGTTGTTGTTGGTGTTGTCGTCTTCAGCTGCCGTTGCCGCTGTGGCTTTTTTTTTCGCCTGCAGCCAATTTGTAGATTTTACCGCCAGATCTAGCTATTTTACAAGCTCTTAAGCTAGTAAAAATGTTTCACAAAACTTTCTCAAACTTTTGAGTAATTGTAATTTCAAAAGTATTCATTTTTTAGTGTCCGCTGTAATAATATTTTGCGTTGATGATACCCACAAATTTGTTTGGTAGTTTTTATAGATACTTTTATTATTTGTTCATAAAATACAGCATCTTTTTTGTATAACAGTCGCGGCTTTTGGAACAATCTCCCACAACCTGTTAAGGTTTATAACAGTTATTTATTATAACAGCTATCACACTGTTAACTCTTCAAAAATTGGTAGTAACTGAATCTTACATTATTTTGTGCTTATATTACGCTTTATTCGTTTTGCAATCCTGTTTAACAATCTTAAGTTTTACTTTTCCAAATTTGACAACACTGTACTTGATACTTTCTCGCATGTCGATTATAACCCTTCCCATTATGCATTCCAATGTTGATAGGAACGTACTTTCACTCTTCCCTCCTTAATTTTCGCTTAATATTAGTGACTTTTTTAAAAGTTGGCTACACTTACTGCTTGCACCTGTATATAATAGGGGCAGAAGTGTACTACGTAATTAATACATACTCGCATAACTATTATGAAAGTTAGTCTTCCCATTATTCATTTCAAAGTTGATGGCACTGTACAATTTTTAATAGCATATACAACTTTTTCCAGTATTAATTTTCCCTAGTTTACTTTTCAGAAGTTGACAGCACACGTATAACAGGGGCAGAATTGTACAACAATATTAAAACTTTATCGCAGAACGTGAATAACACTTTGCCTTCTCATTAATTATTCGAAAGTTTAAAGAATACTTTTTCATAGCAATTATAGATAGCACTTCGCATTCTTTTGAATATTTTCGAAAAACTAGATTTATTTTCAAAAGCTGGCAGCCATTAAACACCATTTGCACCTGCTTGTATAACAGTTCTAGCTATTTTTTGCTTTGAAAACTTTAGCATTTTTTTTGCTGAAAGTTGGCAAAACTGGCTCGCCTGCAGCCGCATAATGAGCTTATTTATTTCAAACGTGTGTGTTGTGCGATGATTTGAAGAGTTGATGTGGCGCTTGATTTGCTCGACACCCAGCCACGGCCCTCTACCGAGACAGCCCGCCCGCTGCCAATGCTTATTGCCAGGGGCAACAGTTGTGGCTTATTTAGTTAAAGTTTATTGCACTATTCGCTGTCGCACAACAGTCACATGGGTAGTCGCAAGTCGCTACTCGTTTGCACTCGTCCTCTGCATCCTGTCAACGTCAGCTCTTCAATATCTGCCTCGCAGGCTGCGTCACAACTATGGTTGTCATCGTCCGAAAACAATTAGTCGACCCGAAAACAGACAAAAGCTTTAATGGGTCGGTGGAGCGGGGCCACGTGGGACTACGTGGAACTACGTGAACTTCAAGCTTTGGCACCAACTGCCGCCACTCTGCAAGTGAATTTGCCACTACATCTGCATGTCGTGCCTTCGTGTCCGTCTGTGCAACAATTTCGTTGCGTGACCTACTCTGTTCACAAATGCCAAATAGGGTATATACCCAACCGCTATGATATTATACTGTTTATCTCAATAAAAAATCAAACCGCAAGTATTTCAGCCTCAGACGCTTTCGCTCGAGTACGAATCAATAACGCCCACAGTTTTAGAGCCAAACCAATAATGATAGTTAATTTTATAATAAATCATTCACCCGCCACGTTAACATCTATAGCTGTCACAGTTATAAAATCAACTCCTTTGCGTTACAGTTCTAGAGTCACAAGAACAGAGTATTGTGCAGTCGGCAAATGATGAACGCAACGCTTACTCGTCTTATTTATGTACATATTTCACTTGGCACTTGTTATATTTATACTCGGAAGCATGTGGCATGTGGCATGCGGCAAGTGCAGCATCGCTTCATCCTCATCTTTGAACAGACGAACGAACATTTCCATCTCCCAAATGAAATTAGGCTGCAGCTCGACAGACGAGAGTCGGCTCGCACTGAATAACTCAATAAGTCTGCTTATTGCCATGCAAATTAAATGTCCAACTGCACGAGAGAAAATCACACGCACACACACATATATATCTACAGTGAAGTCTACCTATTGCGAAAACCCACTCAGAATAATGTTCTTTTATTACTTATATTACGAGAAATAAAATCCAGCTTTTCAATTTTTAACATATTTCTACTAAGTTGCTGATGAATCGAAATTGAGGAAAAGTTTTCTTAAAAGAAGCAAATTGTCGATTGTTGGCAGAGCTGTTCGTGAGTGGAGCTTTCACTGTAAACACTTTTAGCTGCCTAAGCTCTTCATAATTCCTACTCGCCACTTGTTTAAGTTACAATTGAATTTCGCAGCGCACGCTGTAAAAACGGACTTATTTGTACTTCCATAATATTGCCTTGCAAGAGCACGTACTGCCCATATTTCGCATATCGATGGTTTTACCGAGAAACTGTGACTTGATTTATACTTGTTCCCTATTTTTTATGTTTATGTTATTCATTATGGTTTTTCATGTTTACATAGCTTGTATTTCAATGGTATTCAATGGTTATTATTCGGTGCTTTACACCTTTTTGCCTGCATCCGCAGGCTGCCCATAAAAAACCTTTAAGCATTATTAACAATCTGCATAAATATACAGGGACATTCATAGTGTTATGCCTGCCAGCAACGTATAGATTTATGTGTAAAATAAAATCAAAATATCTCTTCACAATACAAGCTGGTTCAGCTGAACTGAGCTAACAGTAAAGCTATGTTGGGAATATTTGCAACAGATATATACCCACAGAATCGGTTTGCTATATAATATATATATATATATATATATCTGTCAATGATATATAAATATGTTCCAGTTATTTTAAGAACATATATATAAAATTTATTCAGTAAAATGCTTTTTATTTAATTCCAAGCTAAGCAAAGCACGCTTGACTGCGTTCATTTAAAATTGTGGTGGACGATGCTTTCCTCGATTTTTTCCAGAACGAAAATTGCGCCACGAAAGAAAACTTTTCCGCAGCATCCTTGTCCCCTTCAGATATTTACATTATGCCAATGGAATAATTAATTTAGTAATTAGCAGAGGTCGCTTCCGGGTGTGTCTGAGATTTGCCTTATTCGTTTTTCGCTCTTTATTTGTTTTCCATTTTACAACTCAGGCACGATTAGGTTATATAGATTATAGAGTTATGCGTTGCAATTACCGAAGGGCCGCTCCCATAATATCCACATCAGATCAGTTAGGAAATACAAAAAATGTGTTAGTCTTTCGGATTTTAGGATATATAGGCTCTCATTGAGACACACTTGAGCTCTTGTAGAGAGTAGTTCTTGTAGTTCTTAAAGAGGGTTTGACTAAACTGACTAACCATGAGTTTACATTATACATATTTGAAAATCAAACAACTTATTTACCAAACGAGCACTAACTTGACACGATTATATTAAAGATATGCATTATATGGCTCAAATATATGTATATGCACAACCTTGACCGTTTTTCAATAGAATAATTCAACTGCGCCAGCCAATTGACTGCCACGTAAAGCGAGTTAATAAGTAGTTCCAAGTGTCACGCATTTTCATTCATGTATGCCTGCACATTTAAAAAAATATATATATAAGAATACTATATACATACTGTTATATGCGTATATATCAGCAATTTGTCATCAATGGGCTTAAGAGAGGCCCATAAATAATTAAGCAAACTTTGCAAAAGTCGGCGTGTGTGCGGCCTCATCGTCAGCTAGCCCAGTTAGTACGTTGGCCCACAAAGCTTCAATTGGCAACTGAACAAATTGCTTCTTAGTGGCAACACACGATGCGCGAGTATGTCAAAGAGCTGGGGTCAATACTGTTGGTCCAGCATCGATTTGGACAAATTCTTGAAATTCATTTCGACTGACAGCGAACTGTGGGCTCTTGGCCGCGGCTCCTTTGGCTGGGCCAAAGTTTTAATGGGCTGCCATGGAAACGCGCCGTTGCCATCAAAATGGGACACGTAGCCCTTTAATATTTTGGTTGTCATTAAAGAGCTGCCCGTCTATCGCCGTCAGCGCGAAGATGATGCTGATGCTGATGATGACGATGATGATGATGATGATGATGAGTTGCTGGCTGATAAGCAAGCCCAATCGAATCAAGTGGCGCACATACGCGAAATTTCAAATTAAATCAAAATCTAGCACGCT